CGACGGCGTTTAATAACGCTCTACGTGGCTATGGCGCCTGGAGATGGAAGGCAGCAGTGCGTTCGCGACAGACAGCATGTTGGCCAAGACGCAGTACAGGGTGTCCTGGACTGTGGGGCCACTCGGAGGAGCTCGGTCAGGAGGAGGTCTCGGATAGCAGCTGGTAGTAACTGGTGCTCTGACACCCTGTGTCACACTCTCCTCTCCCTCCCCCTCCCCCCGCCCTGCAGCGTGAGCCGGCGCTCCTGCGAGGACGCCCCGGCCCCGGAGGAGCAGGAGACCGAGGGCCAGCGCCAGCTCCGCGGCCTCCTGCTGCAGCAGCTGGACACCGCGGTGGACCTGGACAGGTGAGGAGGCCCCCCGCGGGTGGGCGTGCGACCCGCTTCACCCCGCTGCCTCCTGAAAGAGAGACCAGGCCAGCGACTGCACGCTCCACTCTCCCGCCCCCCTCTGTGCAAAGCGGCGCCTGCTGTTCTCGGTTTTTATTGCACTTCCACGTACTTTCACCAAGATAGCGTAGCCTGATGGGGAAATCGAACCCGGGCTGTGGGGTGGCGAGAGTCAGCAGTGGCCAGCTTGGTCCGTGCTCCCACAGTCCTTTGCAAGGAAAAGCCCCAGCTGTTGTAAAGGCCGTTCCACGTAGTTTCCAGTGTCGTCTCCCCTGGTTCACTGTGAAGATGACCGCTGGGTTGACCTTCCGAGTGCCTTTGAGCATTTTCGATATTGGTACCAGGACCCTTCAGAGGATTCTTTCAGCCCCTCAGAGTAGGACGAAGGTGGGGGGGAGACGCAGGGAGAAAAAATCTTACTTCTCCGTGGCTGTCTCCTCTTCTAGGTGCGTGGCAAAGAGGAAGTGTTTTGCTCCGGCGGCCCTGTACAAGCCCTTTGGGGAGCAGGCAGCCGGAGTGAGAAGCCTGTCCGAGTTTCAGGCTTTGCAGGACGGGGAGCAGGAGCTGGCGAGCCTGAGGGAGCTAGGCCTCACCGATGCCGAGATCGAGCTGTGGCTGAGCAGGGATGCACTGAGAAACGCAGAGAAGGTAGAGATCTGGGTTAATATCTCATTACCTGTTTTGTTTAAGGTAGAACTTTTAAGCCTGTTCTCACCTCTCTCTCATTTCCGGACAAATCTCTGTTTAATAATTCCTTACACTTCTAAAGTGCTTTTCTGGACACTCTCAAAGCGCTTCACAGGTAATGGGGATCCCCTCCACCACCACCAGTGTGCAGCCCCACCTGGATGATGCACCAGTACTCTCCCCACACACCAGCTCTCAGTGTGGAGAAGAACAGAGTGATGAAGCCAGTTCAGAGATGGGGATTATTAGGAGGCCATGACTGGTAAAGGCCAATGGGAAATTTAGCCAGGATGCCGGGGTTACACCCCTACTCGTCTCGAGAAACTCCTTGGGATTTTTCATGACCATAGACTCAGGACCTCAGTTTTACATCTCATCCGAAGGACGGCGCCTTTTTACAGTATAGTGTCTCAGTCGCTATACTGGGGCATTAGGACCCACACAGACCGCAGGGTGAGCGCCCCCTGCTGGCCCCACTAAC